TCCAATTTTTAATCTTCCAAGTTACTCCACATTTTAATATCATTTTTTAATATTCCAAGCCACTATTTTACTTCTTCTGATTACATCAAGAACTGCCCTGGGCCAGAAGGGGGCCCACTGCCCTGAAGGGTGAGTCTCAGGCCAGGCAGCATTTACCACAAGCTGAGTAAGAGTCCTTGGGCCTTAAGGGAAAATTGGGGGTAGTCTGGCATTATTCCCCGTGGCCTGTGGTGGCTGTGGCTACAGAGTGAGTCTCCTCTTACTTTGAAAAGGGGAGAGGAGTGAGAAGGACTACATCCTGTCATATGAATACCATCTCAACCTCAGTATAACAGAACACGTGGCAGATTTCTAAGGTTTTTGACCCTAGTTTCTGACTCACAGACAGCACCTCTGGACCCACCCAAGGCCTGGGGGAACTTGTCACCCTGAGGGGAGGAACACAGTCCTGGCTGGCTTTGTCACCTGCTGTCTGCATAGTTCCAGGGACTTGGCGAACATAGGCAGTAGCCTGGGAGTGGTTACAGCAGGCCTTCGGTGTAACCTGTTACACCAAAGTACTCTGTTAGTATGAGGAATTAAAGTTTTTAAAAATAACATATATTGCAATTATGATCTAGATGGCCATAAAGGAAGCAATTAGATTCAGGAAAAAAAAAACAAACCCCTCAATGGTAACAAAGAAACAAATTCAAATAGAGTCACTAAGATTTCTGAATATTAACAAAATTTTATTTACTTTTCTTCAGAAATGAGTTTAGAAGACAAAGTTTGGAAATGACAGAGGGCTGTGAGAGGAGCTGAAAGCAACTGAAAACAAGGCAGCCCAAGAGAAAAAAGCAGAAGAAAAAGAAATTTGACTGATATAAAAAATACTCACTAAATACTTATTCCGTTAATTATCTATTTTCAAACACAGGATGGGAAATTCTCATTAATATCCTAAGGGCAACACCTAATAATTAAATCACAACTTTTGACAGATTTTAAAATATTTACTTATTTGGTATTAACATATAGCTTCATAAGCTTCATGAGGCTGGACAGGTAAGAAATAATGAAAGGAATATCTATACAATGAAATAGCACAATCATAGCATGGTGATCAAAAACAAGCAAATAAATAAATACACAAATAAAACTGGAAGTACCAAACTCAATAGGGTATAACTGAAAAGCCACAAATTATACTTCTTATGACTTGACAGTGCGCAATTTGACAGTGTGATCCAAGGAAGAGGAGCACTGCCTCATGGCCAAATGCGCTATAAGTGAACATCTATACCTAATAACCATGTAGATAGGGCACAAGAATAAAAAACCAAAACATCTGGAGCAGCTCATTTGGTAGAATTTTCAGATATTAAAGATAACTGTATATTAATAAATTTAATACATGTTCTGTTTCTCAGGCGGGTAAGTTTCTATTTCTCACCAGAAAAGGTCAAGCACTGAAGCAACAGCCAGTTATTCCACCAGCAGTTCATTCTTTTCAAGGGAGTGAAGCCCAGTAAGAGTAAGAAAAGAAAATGAAGAGTAAGAAAAAAAATAGTCTTTTAATAAAGGTAGAAAAATCACGTTTTCCTTAGCTTATAAGGAATTTCTCTAAGAATTCTGGTTTTATAGACATTCCTAAATTTTAATAGCAAGAAATGTGATACCTCATAGAATCAAGAGACTGATTTTGAAAGACACTACTTGGGGACAAAACTTGTAGTGAGGGAGAAAAAACATACAAAAAACCCCGAAATGCTGTTTTGTAAAAATATGAGCTATAGGCTGAAAGTTTTCTCCCTAAAGAACCAATCTAGAAGAAAATTTGGAAGTGTCCACAATTTCAGGGATAAGCAAACTATCCAGAGAAAAGAACAACTGTCTTTAACCTAGCTGCAATAAAAGGAACAACTGAAACCAACACTTCAATACTATTAAGGATAACAATGGATTGATAAAAGGTACGTCAAAGGAAGACTAGCAAGTTCAGTAGATGTCTAAAAACTCCAGAGGGTAACTGGAAAATTTTTCTCATGTTGTTGGAGATATACACATAGTGAGTTTGGGATGAAAGAAGAAAGTATGTATTAGTTGTCAGGAAAGGTTTTACAATTTTTGTTACATTATATGTCAGTTTGTTTTCTGGGCTTTGTTGGTCTGAAACTTTGATGAAGAACTTATTCAGTGGTGATTAGATCCTTTCCTTAAATGGATTATGCTACATATTCCACGGATTTGTATTCGAAAGTCCATTTAATAATTTACAATAAAAAGAACTACCAGCCAGACTCATATTCAAATTGGCCAGATGATGAATTTTCTATCCCAAAAGGAAGACAATTTTAGAAATCAAATGAAGATCATAAGGTTGCTTGAATATGTATGAAATCAGAGTTGCAAAACAGCCTCACCACGTCATCTAGGTATGCTTGCCCACTGGTCTGATGTGTCCATTCATTTTAACAAGCCTCTCCACAATCTTCCAGTTTTTAATCCTCCAAGTTAATCCACATTTTAATACCATTTTTTAATATTCCAAGTCACTGTTTTACTTCTGATTACATCAAGCACTCCGATTGCTCTAGTAAGTGATAATTTCTCTTTAAAAACTACTAGCTTCTGACTGTGTCCAATCAATAAGAATGTGTTTCTAACATAAAAAGGAATAAGTCAAGCAAAATCTCAGAAAGAGTCTTTCCATTAAGCTCTTCATTATTTGTGTCCTTATTAAGAGGCCATGGCTAACTAAATTTACTAGCAGATGCCTCTTCAAACCAGCATACAAATAAAAATTTAAATGCAGGAATAAAGCTCCAAAATCCTTTAAACATCTGGGGATTCTATTATAAAACAATTCCTTAATTCATCTACTTTAAAACCAGGAGTTTTCAAATACTGAAATTGCCACTCTTTTTTCATAAACCCTTTATGATCCCATGCTATATAAATGGATGATTTAAATAACTTTTGAGCAGCATTATTAATACTGATTGTTAGTTGTTAAGAACACACACACATGTAAATGAGAAAGAAGTGAAGCAAAGCTGGGTTTGATGGTGCACACTTATAGTGCCAGCTACTCTGGGGGGCTAAGATGGGAGGATTGTTTGAGCCCAGGAGTTTGAGAGCAGCTTAGGCAACATAGCGAGATCCCTTCTCTATAAACAAACAAACAGAAAGTAAAGCACTACAGATTTCTGTTGGTTATAAGGTAAAATCTGTTATTTGTCACAGTGATAAAACTTCTACAGGGTCGTTTAGATATTCTGCCATGTGAACTGTTAAGTTTCTACACAGCAGAGATTTCGTCTTGTTCATTATTATATTGCCAATACTTAACACAGAGTTTAGCACAAAGAAGGTATTCAATATAAATCGATTATGGTAGAGGACAGGCCTTACAATCTCACATTATAAAAACAGCAGCTAAAATTTATTGAGCACTTACTATGTGTCAAGCACTACTTAACAGCTTTAACATGGCATGAGGAGTTAACTCATTTAAATCCCCTTCAAAATTATCAACCCCATTTTACAGACGAAGAAACCAATGGGCAGAGAGATTAAGTAACTTGCGCAAGGTCATTCTACTAGCAAGTGATGGAGCCACAATCAAATCCAGGCAGTCCGGCTCCAGAGCCCAAGCTTTTAACTACAACTCCCTACTATTTCTTTTCTGACATGGTCTCCAAGGTATATGATTCTATGATTCCATTTAGCTAAAACTGCTAAACTAATACAAAGATGGCAAGGAAAAAAGAACAAAGGACTAAAGACTAAACATCAAGTATTACAATGAGTTTTGCTTTATTTTACTGGAGCAGAGAGAAATTGTCTTGAAGTTTATATCGCTTGAGCCTAAAAGAAGTAGCTGCTTCTCCTGCATTAAGTCAACATATTTTTAGTTGTGTTTAGAACATTATTAGCAACTATCCTTAAGAGGCCTTGGCGACAGATCACCCTGAAAGCTAGCAAATATCATACCAAAAACTAATGCACAGATAAACAAATCTCACTATTTGGGTTAATTTTTAAAAGTTTTATTTTATCATACTTTGTTTTTTTAAAAATCAGCTATGAAAGATAATAATGTTCAAAAATAGGACAGAAACATGAATGTAAAGTGTTTTGAGTTCCTTGAAAGAAGAGCTATACTGGGAATCAAAGAAGAATGGAAAAAAGCACTGAAAACTGTTTCCTGCTAATCACTTTCTATCAATAAAATAACATTTACTTCTCTCTCTACAATTTAAAGAGTAATTTTACATAAAATTTGTTCACTTGACCACCAACCCTGAAAATATCATTTCTGCTTAGAGATAACATGTATCTACTGATTAGGTAAAGCCAGAGGAAGAAAATAAAGGCAAGCTCAGAGAAAACAGGCCAGATGTAATACTGTATAACAGTATTCCAATGACATTTTTGACTTACTGAGAAAAAACATAGAATGCAAGTCTTTTTATTTCAACAGCCCTACTGCTTAGCATGTCTACATAATGATGATAATAATAATGACAAAGAATATGGATAACTAGGTGGATCAGGTAGACAGAGGATTTGCCAGGAAGGTAGGGGATATTCTAGGATTTCTCTAAGTGTATAGAAGGGGAAACAATAACCTTGAAGCGCACACACACACACACACACACACACACACACACACACACAAATTGTTTTTTAGGTGCTAAATATAATTTGCTTACTTATTATAAAGCTAGATCACATAACAAATAACCTCAACTAATGCTATCTTAAAGAACCATAACATTTAGGTGAATAGATAACTTTTCTTTTTTAGTCAATCACTAATTTCTGTTTTAGGTCTGAGAAAATATCATCTATAAAACTATGGTCAATTCATATATATATATTTTTTTTCATTAGAGAACATGCAGTTAGACAAGTCAAGCAAAATATTCTAGAATATTATAATCCAAAACACATATATCTTCCATGCAAGCACAGTCATCAAGAATTTCCAGTTACTTGTTACTGACTCTTACCCCTTCTTTTGGGTCTGTGTGGAGTCCTCCTCCTGCATGACCATGCCAACATGTCCTCTTTTCTATCAGTGGCCACACCTGGAGAACCTAATTGAAGATGACACCAAGAAGTCCATTAGCTATTACAGAATTTCAGCTATTTCAAAATCTAATGAATGTTTCCAAAACAAATTCAAAGGTATAGTATTTAGTATGGCACAGTAAAGCAAAACACCTCCAGAATTAACTTACAGCTAAATTTATATAAGAAATTTTAAGATACAACAAACTCACAGAAGTCACTTTCTCCATGTTTAAAGGATTTAACTTGTTTTACACTTCTACTTGACTTATACTGGCTTTCCCAATGTCATTCACTCCTATAGTGCTGATAATCTTTTATTCCATTATTGGCAAGCAGGTATAATATACAGCTATTATATCTCACTTGCTTTCCTTGTATATACATTTCTGTTTTATAGTTAATACAGTTGATTTTAAACAACTGATTATTTTTCTTATTGTACTGGCTCACATATACATTTAGAAACAAGGTATTTTTTTTAACATTTCATAGTGTGTCTTATGCCTATCTTGTAGTCATTTACATAGGCTATTTTGCCTTTCTTATTACATGACAAATTTCTTAAGATCAGAGACAGTGTCTTTTAACTTTGTATCTCCAATGGAACATACCACAGTATCTTACACATGGGCAAAGTAAGTTTCAATGCCTGTTGAATTAGATGATTTTTCAGTAGCCATAATAATCAATAATTAATGAACAAGAGCACAGTTCTTTACAAACACAAATGTATATCAATATCATATATAGCATAACAATATCAGCTCTGGGCCAAGCTATGAAAATGGAATTACAAAAAGCAAAAAGTGCCTTCTTGTTCTCACCAGTTGAGACAGAAAATGTAATTGCCATAAACAAGTTATTGATTTTTGGATCAATAATCTTGAAGCACTTTGTAAAAGGAAAACATCAAAAGGTAATTCTTAGTCCGACAATATCTCTTTGTGCCATTTTTTTCCTCTGAAAGACTGAGCAACAAGTTTTATCAAGGGGTCTCGTGAATACCATATGAGATAGGGAGGTCTTTAATAAAAGACTAAAATAGAAATAAACTTACTGGTATCATAGACAATGAGAAGACTAACCACATTGTCCCCTTAACACTTTAATAATGGAAAATATAATTAATTTCTACAGCCTCTACATAAATTAGAACAATGCCTTGTTATTTTATTATTTAAAAAACAAAACAAAACAAAACAAAAAACAAAGTACCCAGAATTTAGACTATCTTCTAATTTTCTAGTATTTTCTATCATGGAGATTTATGGTCTCATTTTAAAGCAATGGGAATTTTTAAAGATGTCTTTCACTTATATAAGCAGTGAAAAATAACCTCCTCGACATGTAAAGCCAGCATTACCTACCTCATGGGCTCTAATAAGCTTAGAATCCCTTGGTATTTGTGCTATCTGAACATCAATAACATCAAAAAACATAGAGCATTTCATATAACAGATATAAATTAGCAGGATAAATTTCAGTGTCAACAAGTTGCTATTACATTTATAAAAGCTTTCCGAAAATGTTACTCTAGTTGGCACTGATCTAAAGAGATTCAGATAGATTTTTCCAGGGGTAGAAAACATCAATACTTCTCTCTGCATTTCCTGAAGCAGAAACATATCTTTTTATTCATCTTGCCAGCATTTAGAAAAACACGAAAAGGGAGATGTAAAGTATGTAGTATAAACTGGGAAATGCTCCAAGGGCTTACTGGTTTTTCCTAGCTATACGTAGATGTGTTTGCTCAATCTTACCTTTGCAGCATCTAAGAACTGTCTTGAATTGCCTTTTCCCACTCTCTGCCACATGATACTTTTTAATGACTCTGGACTCTGCTGACAGGAAAAAAAAAAGTAGGGGGAAGTTTCAGTGGACACTTAATATTCAAAGATTTCTTTTGTTCATAAACATACATAAAATTAAAACCACAGCCAATATTGGAGAGATAATTATGCTTTCAAGGTATGTCTAAAAAGACAAAAAATACACCGGGCATGGTGGCTCATGCCCAATCCCAGCACTTTGGGAGGTTGAGCTGGGCAGATCACGAGGTCAGGAGATTGGGACCATCCTGGCCAACATGGTGAAACCCTGTCTCTACTAAAAATACAAAAATTAGTTGGGCATGGTGGCGCACACCTGTAGTCCCAGCTACTCTGGAGGCTGAGGGAAGATAATTGCTTGAACCCGGGAGGCGGAGGTTGCAGTGAGCCGAGATTGCACTATGGCACTCCAGCCAAAAAAAAAAAAAGACAATACGAGTTGTGGTCCAGGTATGAAGTACACTGTAGTACTCATTATAAATGTCAAATTTTCTTTTCATCTTCCTTGTTTCTGGTTTCTGTCTGCCTCTTTGCTTTTTTTTGGTCTTTGCTTCCTAAATCCCCTAAAGTCTGCAACTCAATTTCTTTCTTTTTTTTTTTTTTTTTAAATAATTTATTTTACTTTGGGTGTGTATTATATCTGGCATTACTACCCATGTTATCCCTCCCCATCCTCTCCTCCCTCCCCACCCCCCATTGTCTCTCTCCTAACTCCCCAAACTGTCTCCCGTGTGTGATGCTCCTCTCCCTGAGTCCATGTGTTCTCATTGTTCAACAACCACCTATGAGTGAGAACATACGGTGCTTGGCTTTCTGTTCTTAGGTCAGTTTGCTGAGAATGATGGTTTCCAGATTCATCCAAGTCCCTACAAAGGACACGAACTCATTGTTTTTTATGGCTGTGTAGTATTCCATAGTGTATATGTACCACACTTTCTTTGTCCAGTCCATCATTGATGGGCATTTGGGTTGGTTCCAGGTATTTGCTATTGTACACAGGGCTGCAATGAACATATGTGTGCATGTGTCCTTATAGTAGAACGATTTATAGTTCTTTGGGTATATACCCAATAGTGGGATTGCTGGGTCAAATGGAATTTCTGTTTCTAGATCCTTGAGAAATCGCCACACTGTCTTCCACAATGGTTGAACTAATTTACACTCGCACCAACTGTGTAAGAGTGTTCCTATTTCTCCACATCCTCTCCAGCATCTGTTGTCTCCCAATTTTTTAATGATCGCCATTCTAACTGGCGATATCTCAGTGTGGTTTTGATTTGCATTTCTCTAATGACCAGTGATGATGAGCATTTTTTCATATGTTTGTTAGCTTCATATATGTCCTCTTTTGAAAAGTGTCTGTTCATATCCTTTGCCCACTTTTGAATGGGGTTGTTTTTTTCTTGGATATCTGTTTTAGTTCTTTGTAGATTCTGGATATTAGCCCTTTGTCAGATGGGTAGGTTGCAAACATTTTTTCCCATTTTGTTGGTTGCCAGTTCACTCTAATGATTGTTTCCTCTGCTGTACAGAAGCTCTGGAGTTTAATTAGATCCCATTTGTCTATCCTGGCTTTTATTGCCATCTGAAACTGTATCAAACAATACAAAAGGAGGGAATCCTCCCTAATTCATTTTATGAGACCAACATCATCCTGATACTAAAACCAGGCAGAGACTCAACTAAAAAAAGAAACTTCAGGCCAATATCCATGATGAACACCGATGCAAAAATCTTCAATAAAATACTGGTAAACAGATTGCAATGGCACATCAAGAAGCTTGTCCATCAAGACCAAGTAGGCTTCATCCCAGGGATGCAAGGCTGGTTCAACATATGCAAATCCATAAATGTAATCCATCACATAAACGGAACCAAAGACAAAAACCACATGATTATCTCAATAGACGCAGAGAAGGCCTTTGATAAAATTCGACAGTCCTTCATGCTAAAAACTCTCAGTAAACTAGGTATTGATGGAATGAGTCATAAAATGATAAAGCTATATATGACAAACCTACAGCCAATATCATACTGAACAGGCAAAAGCTGGAAGAATTCCCTTTGAAATTAGGCACTAGACAAGGATGCCCTCTCTCACCACTCCTATTCAACACAGTATTGGAAGTTCTAGCCAGAGCAATCAGGCAAGAAAAAGAAATAAAGGGTATTCAACTAGGAAAGGAGGAAGTCACACTGTCTCTATTTGCAGATGACATGATTGTATATCTAGAAGATCCCATCGTCTCAGCCCAAAATCTTCTGAAACTGGTAAGCAACTTCAGCAAAGTCTCAGGATACAAAATCAATGTGCAAAAATCACAAGCATACCTATATACCAATAACAGACAAACAGAGAGTGAAATCAAGAGTGAACACCCATTCACAATTGCTACAAAGAGTATAAAATTCCTAGGAATACAACTAACAAAGGATGTAAAGGACCTCTTCAAGGAGAACTACAAACCACTGCTCAACGAAATAAAGGAGGACACAAACAGATGGGGAAACATTGCATGCTCATGGTTAGGAAGAATCAATATCGTGAAAATGGCCATACTGCCCAAAGTAATCTATAGATTCAGTGCTATCCCCATCAAGCTACCATTGACCTTCTTCACAGAACTGGAAAAAACCACTTTAAACTTCATATGGAATCACAAGAGACCCCGCATAGCCAAGACAATCCTAAGCAAAAAGAACAAAGCTGGAGGCCTCACACTGCCAGACTTTAAAGTATACTACAAGGTTACAGTAATCAAAACAGCATGGTACTGGCACCAAAACAGAGACATAGACCAATGGAACAGAACAGAGACCCCAGAAGAAACACCACACATCTACAACCATCTGATCTTTGACAAACCTAGCAAAAACAAGCAATGGGGAAACGACTCCACGTTTAATAAATGGTGTTGGGAAAACAGGCTAGCAATGTGCAGAAAGCAGAAACTGGACCCCTACCTGTCACCTTACACTAAAATTAACTCCAGATGGATCAATGATTTAAACATAAAACCTAACACCATAAAAACACTAGAAGAAAACGTAGGCAAAACCATCCAGGACATAGGCATAGGCAAGGACTTCATGACTAAAACACCAAAAGCAATGGCAATTTCTTTATTAAATGGCTTTTATACTCTTTTCAAATACTCCTCTTTTGTTCTAACTCTTTTTATTGCATTTTATTATGCTGTATATCTTGTTTCTGTTCCTTCGTTAGTCTTAATCTGAATGCTAAATTTATATACTGGTCACAAGATAAGTTTTGACAAACAATTCTATGTAACCAGATGACGGACTCTGTAAGCCAAATGTAAAATTCTAAGTCCCCCAACCAATCGAATGGTACCCCCCCCCGCCCCGCCTTAGCCAAGGGAACACCAAAGAAACCTGGAAATCTAGCTCAGGCCATGATGCTGGTTGGGGGCGGAGGGAGGGGGAAAATTGGACATGCCTCAATATAACCTCTTCCCTTTGGAGTTTAGAAGCAACTGACCAGCATTAACATTAAAACAGCCATCTTAAGACTGACAAAGAAGAATTTGTGGCAATAAGATGCCAAATTCCAACTTGACTGCTACAGTAACACATGACACTGAACAGGTCTTGAAGGAAATCAAAGTATTTTATTCCAAAATATATTTTTTTGACATATTCTAAAATGGCCCTGCAAATCTGTCTCTTGTGGGTGAAATCTGCATTCTATAGAGAATCTCTTTCCTTTACTAAGTCTTTTCTGGAAAGTCTGACACCTTTTAAGGCCTGATAAGAGACAGTCACCATCTTTTATCTCTGAAGCTTGCCACCAGGAAGCTTCATCTACATGACAAGAACCTTGGATTCCACAACCATTTCTTTATGCTGAATTCAATTCTTCAGGCAGGGCTTAACTCTTTCAATCTATGGCCTGGAAGTCCCATCTCACCCCCAACCCCATTGTATAAACACAAGCTGTAACCAAACCAACTTGGACACACGTTCTCAGGACCTCCTAAGGCTGTGTCATGTGCCATGGTCCTTAACCATAGCAAAATAAATCTGTAACTTGAGACCTGTCTCAGATACTCTTTAGTTTACAACTCCAATCAAAGTTTCCTTGAAGCCATTTTCTCCTTGGTAACATTTCAAAAGTGAAGCTGAAAGAAGGCAGAATAAAGAATCTTTCCATGTGTAATACCACACGTATATCTGCAAAATGGACACACACCTTTTTGAAATCTACCATTAATTTAGTGAAGAAAAAATTTGCTTCTCGGGTCAAGTCTCTCCCAAAACGTCAGAGGCATTTGAAGCAGAGCAACTCCATCTTGAGTAGGGGGCTTGGTAAAATAAGGCTGAGACGTGCTGGGCTCCATTCCCAGACGGTTAAGGCATACTAAGTCACAGGGTTAGCTTGGAGGTCAGCACAAAATACAACTCATAAAGACCTTGCTGGTAAAACAGGTTGCAGTAAAGATGGTCGCTAAAACCCACCAAAATCAAGATGGCAACAAGAGTGATCTCTGATCATCCTCATTATTACACTACCATCAGCACCATAACAGTTTACAAATGCCATGGCAACATGAGGAAGTTACCCTATATGGACTAAAATGGGGAGGCACAAATAATCCACCTTGATTATGTGCTTCCTTCGAAATAATCATAAAAATCTGCTTTGCCTACAGAATAGCCATTCTTTCATTCCTTTAGTTTCTTAATAAACTTGCTTTCACTTTACACTAAAGACTTGCTCTGAATTTTTTCTCGCATGAGATCCAAGAATCCTCTCTTGGGGTCTGGATCGAGACCCCTTTCCAAAAACATCTTTCTGGCAACCACAGAAGAGACAACATTGGGGAAATCCCCGACCCAAAGGCTAACTTTGGGTAAGTGGTGATGTCCAGTAAATCTTTCTGGATACCACAGAAAGGACTATACTAAAGAGACCCGTGACCCAAAGGAAAATCAGCCTGAAGAAATGGAAGATGGATCTTCATCCTTCTGCAACTCTTAGGATTAAG